AAGAAATATATCTGGAATTGCTTCATGATTTGGTATATTAACACACCTAGTGTGTTGCCAAACTTCACAAATATCACAACAAATCATCCTTTCACCATCTTCATCTTTAGTCCCACAAATACAATCCATAATAATATTATTATTCTTAATTCCTTCAAATATCCCTCCATTATTAATAATATTAATATCATCATTATTTGACATTATTACCCCTCCTAAAACAATCTTGCTTCCTGGTTTCACCACATTAAACACCAATTCTATTCCACTAATTGGGCTTATCAAGTTGTTAATTGATCTTGTGGTAAAGTTCCTTAATCCCAAATAAATATCCCCAAAAGCCTTTTCAACTTCAATTTTTAGCTCATCAAATGTCACATCTTTTCTCATTAAGAAACACTCAAATGGGGTCATTACTTTTTCTTCAACACCAAATCCATCCTTGATTGCCAACATAATCGCGCAATAAATCTTGGATTTATCTGGTTCAATTCTTGTATCTGGCTCTGATACCTCTCTGTATTCCTTGAGGAAGTACTTCGTGTCTAGGATTATTCTAGAAGCTGTTGGGATTGTAGCAAAGACGCCCGTATAATTTGACATTAATCCCTTATGCTCTTTTAGAATATTGTTGTACAAGAAATGTATGTCCTTCATAAGTTGCGCCAATGTGATTTTGTATTGTTGTTTCCCTTTTGAGTCATTGACCCTAAAACCTTGATCTTGTTTAGGAAATGCTTTAGATATATCCTCTAAACAATATTCCAAAACTTTAGTCACTGGATTTAAGCATCGACGAACCAGATACTTACCAACAATATGATTCCCTAATGACTTGAGAACGAAATCAAGCAACCCTGTATCACCAATATAAGCACGAGCAGCATCACGAACCTCTTGCCTAGACACCCATCGCGATTTAGCCCCTTTTAGGGCTTCCACAACAACCCTAATAGCCATTTCAACGCGTTTAGGTGACCATCTACAAGTTGTGTCAACTAATAGCCCTGGATAACATGAGGTAAGATTATTGTTTTCCTTTGGGATCCTTGATTTGAGCTCCAACATGAAATGAAAGGCATCACAAAGTGTGACTAATGAGTGACCAGATAACATTTGGTACCTTGATAACACTATTAATATCTCATTAATATTTATAATCCCTATATGGTGATGATGATGTGCTAATAAAGCTAATGGCATGTTTTGTAAGGCATTAATTGCACTTTGATATGTTTCTTGTGTAACACCAAAGCTCCCACGCCCAAATTTGTAACCCCATCGACCAAACCATGGCTCACCATAGGCTAATGTGTTGAGTAGCCTTAGATCCATCCCTTTCTTTGTTGAGATATCTCTTAAGCTTACTTTCCTTCAAAAACATAGAGAAATTATTATTGTTTTCGATCTCAAATATTAATCATTTTGATAATCTAAAGTTGTTGACTTTTTGAAAAAGTAGAAAGTTATTTATGACTTTAAGTGCAAGTTTAAAGGAAAATGAAGGATATATAATTTAGATAAATACGATGATTAAGGCTAAGGGGTGCATAAAAGCATAAAAGATACTCCTTGTGTATCGTTTTATGCAATGTGTGCTTGATTGAACACAGAGTTTAACATGACACTACTCCTAACAAAACAGTTTGAACATACACTAGTGTATTTTTGTTTCGTTTTATGTGATATTTGTTTATAATGTTCTATAACGAAAGGCATATTTATGTATTTCAAAATAATGTAACTTTTAAACTTTCTATTCTACTATTTTTTCAGCTACAAAGATAGTAGAGACGAAATATATATAAAAAAGTAAACGCAGGAAGAAAACAAGCAATTATCGTTATGTTACATGAAATTTTATTGATCTTGTATATATAATGTATGCAGCTTTCATCAATTGTGGCATTTTAACTCCGCACCCGATTACAAATATGTTCTAATAAGTTTAAAATCATAAATTATATATATTTTCTTTGTTAGTCAAATTTCAAGTTGAATCAAACCCCGTCAGATAAAATAAAACGAAAATAGTAAATTAAGTTGATGATGACAAACCTAGCACGAAGTCCAATGCAAAGTCGATCCCAAAAGTCCATAATTGAGTGACCAGGCAAGTCAGAAGAAGTAGGAGTTTCCAATGATCCATTGACACAAATCAAATGCCCAAAACCATTAGAATGAAACACACCATGCATCATATGACCTTCTATTTCTATCAAATTTAACTTACTTTTAATTATTTCTCCACCAATAATATTATTAACATCTGTTTTATATTTGTATTTTTGTCCATTTCCTCCTTCTACACAAGCTCCAATTGTGTCCTTTGAAGCCAATAGAAAATGGTACTTCTTGTTGCACATCAAATTGTTGCCCCATCCTGAGGCCATGCATAAGTACTTTGATGAGTTTAACTTTTATACGTCGATAGTTAAACGGTGGCATAACTAGTTTTTCATTAAGAAAGTTAAAATATGAAAAGGTAAATATACGAAAGAAATTAAGAGAATTTGATTTATATTAATAACATAAAAGTCATGCAAAGCAAATTTAATTTTTTTAGTACTATATTTTAGTAATTTCACTTAGTATTTGATTTAATTTCACCAAACACAAACCTAACAAATGAAGTTACTAATCACTATATGTTCCAAATGTTCTATTAATTTCTTTTTTTTTCCGTGACAGATTTAGAATTTAAATTTCACGTGAACTTGTAATAATTTTCGGTAGTGATATTACCTATGTATTGACAATGTTTGCAATGAGGATTGAGTGACAATTCAACTTGTTCTTCAACAACAAATAGGAACACATGCATTGGTGGATGTCTATGAACTTCCAATTGAAATGACCAAATACTCCCATTTTCTTGTTGTGCAAATTCCAAAAGAAGTTTAACATTTTGGTCAAAATTGCACCCAATGAACTCTATAGGAAACCCTTGTTCACCAAAATTCTTGAACTTAAATGATACCCTCTCATTATTATTCCTCTTCCTTTTCTTCGATCCGCTCAGATCTAAAGTCGACATCTTCTTCACCGTCATCATCAGAGGAACCAAAGATAGATCATGGATTCAAGAAAATTTAAAGAGAGTTCGTTACTTACTAGTTACAACTTACCAACTTCTATCTAGCTAGGTGTTTTTAAAGAAAATTAAAAAGGGTAACACACACTTAATTTGCCAAAAAATGACCAAAAATAAAAAAAAAAGTGTCATTCAAAATGGATGGGTTTTATTATGTTTGTACAAATATTTGGAAAATTTTTATTATGCAAATCTATCGCAGAAAGCAAGAGTTACATGCATGTATTATAAAAATGGAACCATGCTTTTGGTCATGTTACAAATGTTAAACCATTTTAATTAATTGGTTAATTACTCCCGGCAAATTCTATGGTCAGTTGAGACATGCTGAAAGTTATGTATAATTAGGGTACTATAGATTTAATTAATAGGAAAATTATATTAACACAATGTTACTGGCCAACTATATACTTGGACTTATTAAAATTGACAGAGATTGATAAATAAATAGATCGTTGATTGTTCAAAAATTATTTGGATTGAAATAGGCGAATAGCTTATTAGTAGTAGTAATTCTCTTAGGAAAAATTAGATATATACTGTTCCGCCGACTAACTTATTAGTATATCAAAATACAGATTATTGATATATATATATATATATATATAAACTAATAAAGAGTATATATACACAATTGTATCAACTTTATATATGAGCTAATATCAATGTCACACTTAGTTATCTTAAATTCAAATTATACAAGCAATATGCTAAACTTCAAACATTTTGTTTGAAATTTGACTTGATAGTCCCAACTTTATACTCTTAACATTTGTAACTCCATCCCCATTTTCAACTTATAAATTTGAAATTGATTTTAAAGGCGGTTAAATATTAAATATTTTATAAATTTTAGATATGTCTTACATAGTGATCCTTTGAGAGATTATATGCGCACTTGCCAGGCACTGGAGGTGTTATCTGCGATAATAAGTTTCAAGTTTGACTATTCGTATTTGAGATATTTAGATCTGAAGTTAGATTTTGACAATTCAAAACTTTAAAATGCAGAAATCTTCTTGAAACGGCGGAGGGTTTAAGGTCTGCCAAAATTCAACTAAATTAAATTAAAGTTAAGTTGCATATCTAAAAGCAACTCTATTATTATTTACGTTAATTTTTGAACAAAAATGTACATTGCACGCATAAAATTGATTGATCTTTAATTTTTGTCTTTTAGCAATTGAACTAATGTTCCGCATGATATAAAACAATAATCACTTCAGGACATAACTTATGATGTATTGTGATATAAAATATAAAAAAACAACTTTTACATATAGCAAACACAAAATTGATATTTGTATCTATAACAAAGTTCGCATAATTGTGCTCCATAGCAAACATAAATATGTATAATTCGCTATACATATACAAAGAAACCAATTGTATAAATTGCTATACATATGCAAAAGAAAGCAGTTGTATAAAAATCAATTGTATAATTTGTGTATATATAAAACGAGAAAGAGAAAAAGACAGGGAATATTTATATTGTACATAAGTGTATAGGATGAAGATATAAATATTTGCATGTGTATATACAATTTTTCTCACTTTTACAAACAAAACCACAATTTATACATTTCGTTTCTATTTGTATGAACGATAGAGACGAGGGTGGCGAGCGAGATCTGGGAGAGTGGCGAGCGAGATTTAGGAGAGTTGAGAGCGAGAGGGGAACAAAAAAATATGTATATATACGATATTTTATCGCTTTATACAAACACAAATACATTTTATACATTTATGTTTGTATAAAAGTGAGAGGGAGAGAGCGAGAGTTTAAGGGAGAGAGGTGATAAACAAAAAATTTGTTACACGGTACAATTAAATCAAAATATAATTATAACATTTAATTTATTTTATTAGTTTGTCATTATATATAATTTATTGAACCGAAATGCAAATCATACTCTTGATTTTGGCCCAAAATTATTCTCTTTGGAGAGGCCCAACATCAAGTTTATGTCACACCGTCACAGTCATCTTTCTTCGTCTCCGGCGAACTCTGCTTCTCTCCGACCAAAAAAAAATTGACCGGTGAGTTCCCATTTTCTCTTTTTGCCTAATCCCTAACCCCAATAAGTTGTTAATCAGTATTCTGAAAGTAGAAAATGAGAAAATGAAAAAAAAAGCCTTAAAAGGTGCGGTTTTGCTCATTATATTGTTGATTTTCAGCATGTTTTTTAGTGGTAAAACAAGAATCTATGAACTGAGGTTTTTTCCCTTCTGTGTTCTTATTGTTACTCCTTAAAAGAAAGAAATCAGCTTCAATTTCTGTTTTTTTCCTAGTTAATATGCATTTTTATCAGCTTCCCATGTTAACTAATTGGATGGTTAGCCTTGTTAAACTCTATATCTATGAGGTAAGGGTAAAGTATGTGTATATTATCCTCTTTTTTCCCAACCCCACTATATAAGGGTACTATAGAGGTTTTAGTTGCTAAGCTGTGGATGTCTGAATTGCTCATGTGATACAGAAACACTGATCTATTGTGAATGCTGATGTTGAGTTGATTGATGATAATGGGGGTAATAAAGTTAATTTTAGGTCAATCTTCCTTCTATCCAGTTATAAGTTATAGGATTGGCTGCCAGGATATTCAATTGGATTAGACACAAATTCTTTTCTATCTTTACTCAAATCTGTATCTGGTTTTTTATACAGTAGCTTTGAACCCCAGAACCATTAGTCTTTGATTGTGAGGGGATGTTACATGGGGAAATGCATGTGACATAAATTCTTCGGTTAATTGCTGTTGTACGATTTCGTGTTCAGTTTGGCTTGGATAAATAAATTTTTTTCATCGTCTCGGAATAGGTAGCTGAGAGATTAGTAAGCTGATCCGCAGGAGTGATTTTCTGGGATATTGAGACAATGTACTTTTCCGGAAGGAGTAGTTTTGTGGGATAATTGGCAAAATATGAGTGATTTTTTTGTTGCAGAAAGAACAAAAGCGACTTCACTGAATAATTTTTCCATAATTTGAGTAACCATCCATGTAATTAACGCTGGTTAGTATTCTGAGATATCCTTAATAGAAAAGGAATAAATCAAGGAGTTTTAAGGACATAAAGGTGTAATCTTTGTCATCATATTGCGGGTTCTCAACATACTCCTAATGGTAATGACTAACTCTGAATTGGGGTTGTCATAGTCACTGACTATTATGACTGCATAAAGAAAGAATCGAGATGCTTATTTATGAGTTTCTTACACAAGTTAATTTTGTATTCTTATTTACTTCCCGTGTGAGTTACTCTCAAACCTTCTTAATGTAAGAAGAAAAAGGAGAAATAGTCTATATAAAGGTCTATTATTAATTAATTTATTGCGCAAACTTTTAGCATGCTTCTTAGTGGTAGAACCTGAACTCTGAATTGGAGCTGCCGAGCTCGGTGTCTGCTTTCACTGCATAAAGAAATTAACTCCAACTTGTATGATCCGTTATGATATTTTTTATAAGTTAATATGTGTTTTAATTTGGTTCCTATGTTAAACTGTGTACTGATATTCTTTTTATACAAAAAGAAGAAGAAAAGAGTAATGCCATAAAACGTGCAATCTTTATCATTCTATTGCATGTTTTAGCCCCTTAAATTGAAATCAACTCATATAGCATCCTTTTAATTATTCATAGTGATTCACACAACCAAACTCAATTTCCCGCCATCAAACTGTAGCATCTGAAATCCATGAATTCAAAATAGCTCTAATATCTGTGTCAGTGTCGTCCATTCCTGAGGTAAGGTTAGCATGGCAGAAAACATAGTAAAATATTTTTTACAAATGAAAAAGAACTTAATAACCAATCTCTAATATTATTTCCTTTTGTCAGCCAACATTCAGCATGAACTAAAGAGCTAGAAATGCTACTTGGAGAAAATGATCACTCTCCAGAAGTTGAACTTTAGGATGACAGCTTTCCCTTATTCTTTGCTTCGGTTGTTTGCTGTCAATGGTGATTATATAGTTTTCAGACACACAAGTCAGTCTGATCGGAGTAGTAAGAATGTCAATCGGTCAGTTGGCTTTTTTTGGGGCAACATAGAGATTCAGGACGTAGTCAACCGCACTGTGTTTGCTCAGACTGCTCCATTTTCTACCATTGCTGGGACAATCCTTGTCCAGGCTCAAGACCTTGGTAAAATGTCTGAAGAGTTCGAAAATGATATTGATGAAAATAAACTTGATAATGCATGGGCTGTGTATGAGAGGCACATGCAAATGGAAGGGTTTCCTAGAAAATCAATTGTTAATAAACTTCTAGCAGCCAGTGCTGAAAGCTCAGATCTTGGACAGCTGGACAGGGCTTATGGCTTGGTTGAACAAGCATTTGAGAAAAACAAGCATGACTTGCTTGAGAGGAATACTCTTATATATCTCTCTTTAGCTTTTGCCAAATGTGGATCACCTATTCCCGCATCTACTCTTTTAAGGAAGCTTGTGGAAGCAGAGAAGTATCCACCTGTGAGTGCTTGGTCTGCAATCCTGGCTTATATGTCACAGACCTCTACTGGATCCTACCTTGCTGTTGAATTGGTCCTTGAAATAGGTTACTTATTCCAGGATGGAAGAGTTGATTCCCGTAAAAAGAGCAACGAATTTCTGCTTTTCATGAAGCCTAATGCCACTTGTTTCAACATTGCTTTAGCTGGATGTCTTCTGTTTGGAACCACTAGAAAAGCAGAGCAGCTCCTCGACATGATGCCTCGAATCAACTTGAAAGCTGATGCTACTTTACTAATCATAATGGCTCATATTTATGAGAAGAACGGACGAAAGGAGGAGCTCAAGAAGCTTAAGAGAGACATGGAAGAGGCCCCTAATGTGACGGAGATGCAGTTTCGTCAGTTCTATAATTGTTTGCTTTCATGCTTTCTGAAGTTTGGAGATCTTGAATCTACATCCCGCATGGTTCTAGAAATGCTTCGCAAGGCAGAGAAAGCTAAAAATTCTCTTGGTATAGCTAGTTTGCTTATTGAGGTTTCTAGAAGTGGCGATACATTGTGTTCAAATGGTCTTCCTGAGGATGCCCATCTTCGAAAGCCAGATGAATCAGGAAGTTTGGTATCATATGAAGATATCTGTAGGGACAGAAAGTTTTCAAAACTGCAGACCATTGCTAAAAACTTACTTGATGTCTTGGTAACTAAGTTGCAGAAGCAAATTGAATTTATTACAACTGAACATGGTATTCTCCAGCCTACTGAGAAATTATATGTTAAATTGGTAAAGGCTTTCCTAGAAGCTGGGAGAACAAAAGATCTTGCAGAATTTCTAATTAAGGCAGAGAAACAAGATTCTCCAGTTTCAGTTGATGATTCTGCCTTGGTTCATGTGATAAACTCTTGTATTTCACTTGGATGGTTAGATCAGGCACATGACCTTCTGGATGAAATGCGATTGGCTGGTGTTAGAACTGGTTCTTCTGTTTATGCATCTCTTTTGAAAGCATACTGTAAAGAGAATCGAGCCGGGGAAGTTGCATCACTGCTTAGAGATGCTCGTAAAGCTGGGATTCAGATAGATGCAAGCTGTTATGAAGTATTGATCCAGTCCAGGGTGATACAGAAGGACTCTCAAGGGGCCCTTGACCTGTTCAAGGAGATGAAAGAGGCTAAGATACCAAGAGCTGGTCATCAAGAATTTGAGAAATTGGTGAAAGGGTCTGCAGAAGGAGGTGAAGCTAGTTTAATGATGACGCTTTTGCATGAAATCAAGGAAGGGCAAAAAGTAGATTATGGAGTTCATGACTGGAATAATGTAATTCACTTCTTCTGCAAAAAGAGGTTGATGCAAGATGCCGAAAAGGCTTTTAAGAAGATGAGGAGTTTGGGCCATTTTCCAAATGTACAAACTTTTCATTCTCTGGTCACTGGTTATGCTGCCATTGGCGGAAAATATGTCGAGGTGACAGAACTATGGGGTGAAATGAAGTCTCTTGCTTTTGCTAGTGGAATGAAGTTCGATCAGGAACTTTTAGATGCTGTGCTTTATACATTCGTTAGAGGTGGTTTTTTTGTTCGAGCAATTGAAGTCGTACAGATGATGGAGAAAGGCAATATGTTTATTGACAAGTATAAATATCGCACCCTCTTCTTAAAATACCACAAAACACTCTACAAGGGGAAGGCTCCAAAATTCCAGTCAGAAACTCAGATGAAAAAGAGAGAGGCAGCATTGAACTTTAAGAGATGGGCTGGGTTATGCTGAAGATTCATAGTCTATAGCCTCCAGTGTATTACCCTTCAATACTGGGACTTGTTGCTCTGATAGTTCCTAAATGGGTTGACAGTGAAATGAATGGATCTCCATGTTGATCCAAATGTTTTCGACCCATCACTTGATGCTAGCAGATCAAGACATTTCCATGGTTCATTCTTATTAATTTCTGATCATTCAGTTCCTTATCATCATAAATGCCTTGCAAAATAAGTCATATTGATGAGATGCATTGTCCTCAACATAGTATCCATTGTGCCTGAAGATCATCCGTTTATTTGTGCTCTGGTATGATTTTGAGAGGTTCAGGGTGAAGCATTTATTTTGCTTTACAATAAGAAATTCATCCATTTAATGTATGGAGGCAGTAATCTTCTATTGAATGGCTTAACACCTTAGGTGCCTGCATTATTCAACATCCAAAAGAAGTTTTTAGTTTCTGCTATAGCGGTGTATATAATTGCACAGTGACAGACCTGCTACTCATCACGGTTTCTTTAAGGGAACCTTCAACATATATGCAAAATTGCTGAAAAGAAGTATTTCGGGAATAATTCTGCAAGCACTAATTTTCTTCTTGATAAAGGTAAAGTTGTATTCCTCGGCAATGAGGGTATGCTGGCAACCACCAAAAAAATTTACAGCAGTGACCCAAAAAAACCTACTCAAGATAGCTGCTACTAAACTTATAAAGAAGAAAAAAGAAAATTATAACCTGTCCAGCATCCTCTACACCCTCCTCTTTACACCAAAAAGAGAGTCTTCATACAATGCCATTTGATCTTTTTCACTGATTCTGCAGTGTTTTCTTGACACCTCTTGTTTCTTTCTCTCCAAATAGTCCACCATATACAGGAGGGTATCATGTTCCACCATTTCTTCTGGCTCTTACTCCCCCCACCCAGCAACTAAGAAGGTCTGCAGTGTTCTGACAGGTAAATCTCTCGAGCCTAATTACTGCTGGAAAATCTATTTGTCTGTAGTGATTTGCATAACGACCTTCCCATTACTTTAACAAGAAAGATTAAAGACCTTCAGGTTTAGATGTTAAAATTTGTTTCTGGAGAAACTAGGTAGGGTCTCTATTCTAGAGGTCCAATAAACATGTAACATGTTGAAGCTTAAATATTATGTTAAGTATATGATTTTTGCGCATTTAGTTATGTGTCTGTTAGTTTCAGGATGTGGTTTCAAGCTCATATGATCTTTGAGATGAAGTCTAATGTCATTTTTGCTTTGTATTTTGTGTTTTTGTGAAAAGATTGACTTCGAACATGATTTTTCATTTTTGTGCTTTCTTCTATCTGTTCTTGTGAAAAGCGTGACTGAGAACTATGTTGCTTCCTATGTGTACTGAAAAGAATTATTGATATCAAAACAATGATCCTTAGCAGTTAACATTTACATTGAAGAGTTTATGTCAAAAGCTAAAAGAATAGATTTTTATTGTAAGTGTAAAAGTTTGATGGTAACTTTGCTACTGAAAATTGAGAGGAGCCATCGGAATATCAACAGAAGAAAGGCTAGCTTAGACTTAGAGTATGGGATGGGATGCAATTAATTAGTTTATTGTTGATTAATATATTTTGAAATTGTTGCCCTTGAGAATAGCATTAGAGAGGCCTAGGGCTTTGTTCTAGTGGTATGAGCTTAGTGCACGTCACAGGTTCGATATTTAAGTGGAGAAGGGTAGAATGGCGGGCTCATTATTACCAAGTTTCAAACTGTGCACCACTGCTTCTCAGGATTTCTTGGTTATAAAAAAACAAACAAAAAGATGGCGTAAGAGAGACATTTGCTCAATTGTTAGTTCATTGTTTTTGGGTTAAACAATTTTCTTGTGGGTTTCTAATATTGGTCGAGTTGGGTCGAAACAAAAAAAAAGACCTTTTGCTTACTCCACAAAAATACAGCACAGTTTCTAATTTGAGCACAAGCATACTGATTCTTGTGACTTTTGATTAAATAATATTATGAGAATGTAAGACTGACAGATTTGAAAACTTTGAGCCTTATAATTTTAACATGAAAACCTCCTACTGATAATTGTCACTTCTCATCACCTGTCTACATCTTGTTATCTTCTAGTGCTTTCAGCTTATTTCTTCAGGGGTCTATGGGGCTGAGTCACTTCTTTGCCATTACTTACGTCTAGAGGAGAAATCGTTGCAAAAAATGGAAGAAAGAGCTGCTTTGGCTAAGATAACTCACTGAATCATGAGGATTTCCTGCAATATGTCAAGTATATTTCTCACTGGACTTGAGCACTCTTGGCCTTGTTCTTCGGTGTGTTTCTAAAACTTTATGTCTTATCGGAATCATTTTTGATCCTATCGAATATATTTAAGATTTAGTTCCATCTATGGTTTTCTGCAGGTAAGAAAATTCAACACATGATGGCATTGAGAAGATATTGTGAGACGAAGTGTTTAAACATCCCACTGGAATTTGATTTCTCCTAATTGATGTGTAATATGTGTGCGCTATTCTAGCTTAGATGGATTCTGTAGTCTACTTAAACTTTTCCTCGCACACATGTCATGTAAGACTTAGTTCGCTATTTACTTCTTGTATTTTTGAGTTTGGTACTATGAAGGTAATGGGCTTTTGTGATGTATTGTCTTTATTATAAGTTTGTCATTTTTAGTAAATGTGATTGTACCATATGATGTGCACACATGTTTCATCGTTAAATATAGTGGAACACAGCGAAAGGGAAATTATTCAAAGAATCCTTATTACTACACCAGAACTACATTACTATTCATGGGTGTGGCGGGATGGTTGAAATCTCTCATCCACCTTTAATTAAAGTCTCAGTTTTAAGGCCCGGGTAATGGAGAACTTTTGGTGGGGAGTACTTTCACAAGTATGTAGCGTGAATTTGGATCAGTCTAGCCAATGAGTTTCAGATACTATATGTCTAAAGGTGAATTTGGATTAGTCTAGCCATCATTGTTTACTTTAGTGTTTTGTTCCAGGGTTGTGAAGGGAAAGAAATCGGATTTATCGTGTGACAAAAGAAGAGAAAACTGTAGTTTATACAGAAGAAATTTTGAAGTCTTTATAGTATGAACTGAAAACTGTAGTTTGAACTTCGAAATGATTCTTATCCTCATTTCTAAGACTGAAATTTTGAAGTCTTTATAGTATGAACTGATTTTTGGCCCAATTTTTTGATTGGCCTGAAAGTCTCTGATTGAGAATGACGTGTGGCCTAAAATTTTTTTGCTAGTTCTGTGGGGTTGACAAAATGGTTTTGTAGTGGACTTTGACAATTTGGAAGCTTATAATAGTAAACTTTGTCTACTTATTGTGCTTTGTTACATATAGCTTGGTAATAGGAGGAGTATTAGAAACCAAAAAAGATGACCACCACCAGCAGAAATGTGCAACATTTTGTTCATGTAATTCTTGTTTTTCTTCATTGTTTTAATACAGGATTTTGCACAGAAATAGATAGCATTACCAGCACTCTATCTCTGAGGGATCCTGGGATTTTATCATCTCCAGGAGGCGTCTTGAAGTTGGGATTTTTCAGTCCTCTAAACAGCTCTAACAGGTATGTTGGTATTTGGTACAATTTTTCTGAAACAATTGTCATTTGGGTGGCTAATAGGGACAAACCTTTAAGAGATTCTTCTGGGGTTGTGAAGATTTCTGGTGATGGAAATGTCGTCGTTATGAATGGGGAGGAGGAGATTCTTTGGTCATCAAATGTTTCAACCTCTCAGGTAAACTCAATTGCCCTTCTCCAAGATTCTGGGAACTTTGTTCTTGTAGATCATCTGAATAATGGGAGCACAATATGGCAGAGTTTTGAACATCCTTCTGATTCAATTGTCCCTAAAATGAGTATAAGTGAAAACACAAGGACAGGGGAGAGGGTAGAAGTAAAATCTTGGAGAAGCCCTTGGGATCCTAATTTCGGAAACTTTTCTCTAGGAATGAATTCTGGATTCATTCCTCAGGTGTATATCTGGAAAGGTAGTCAGCCCTATTGGCGAAGTGGTCAATGGAATGGCCAGATCTTTATCGGAGTGCAGGATATGTATTCTGTGTCGTCTGATGGATTCAATGTAGTGAACAATCGGGAAGGTACTGTATATCTTACTGGCCCTGGTGATTTTGATTTCTTAACGAAATTTGTCTTGGATTGGAAAGGGAACTTGGTTCAATCATATTGGGATGCGAATGAGACGACCTGGAAGATAATATGGTCAGCTCCCAATAACGATTGTGAAGTTTATGGAATGTGTGGTCCATTTGGTAGCTGCAATCATTTGGAGTCGCCGATTTGTTCTTGTCTGAAAGGTTTCGAGCCAAAGCACAGGGAAGAATGGGAAAAGGGGAATTGGGTTAGTGGTTGTCTTAGGAGGAAAGCTTTGCAATGTGAAGTAAGGAATAACTCAGGGGATTCAAGTAAAGAAGACGGATTTCTAAAGATAGGGTCAATAAAATTGCCTGATTTTTCAGAAAGGTCATCGACTAGAGAAGACCAGTGTAGAAGCCAATGTTTGGGAAATTGTTCCTGCATAGCGTATGCATATGACTCAGGTATTGGCTGTATGTCGTGGAATAACAACTTGATTGATATTCAGCAGTTCCAAAGCAGGGGGGAAGATCTCTATATTCGCATGGCACATTCAGAGCTTGGTATGTATAGTTATATTGAATAGAAGACTTGTTATCCACCCAGAATAGCTTAATCAGTCATTTGAGATATCATGTACTTAATTGAATTTCATAGATATACTTTAAGTAGCTACTTCTGTAGAGAACTGATATTGTTCACCTTTTGTGATTGCTCTACATTGCAGATCATCATAAAGACATAAAGAAAATTGTAATTCCAGTAATCCTTGGTTTTCTTACACTCTGTGTTTGTCTGTTCCTTTGTTGTACAAGAATGGCCAGACGTAGAGGTAAAACAGGCTATAAGGTTTTCATATTATACATTTAGAAGCACTTTGTTAGCTATAGTAGTTGACTTAATTTCCTGCTGATATTAGGAGTAAAAAGGAAGAAGATAAATTTACTTGGTGACAGAAGTGCAGTTCATATGGAAGAGTTACCAGTCTTCAGCCTCGATACACTTGCAAATGCAACATCCCAGTTCCATGAGGATAAGAAGCTTGGTCAGGGTGGTTTTGGTCCAGTTTACATGGTACAGTTGTCTTCTCTCTCGACCACTTTTCAAATTTCACTCGCTGAAATTGCTGATTCCTTGTAGGGAAAATTGGAAGATGGGAAAGAAATAGCAGTCAAGAAGCTTTCAAAAGCCTCGGGACAAGGGCTGGAGGAGTTCATGAATGAAGTGTTGGTGATCTCTAAAGTCCAACATAGAAACCTTGTTAGACTCTTGGGATGTTGCGTTGATAAAGAGGAGAAGATGTTGATTTATGAATATATGCCCAAGAAAAGCTTGGATGTGTTTCTCTTTGGTTAGTCCTTTTCATAAGCATAGTACTTCTCATATGCAGTTCTTTGTTACTCCACATCTATGTTGTTCGGACTCTTCAATAATGTCGATGGATGCTTGTTAAATCCTCCAAAAGTACTGCACTTTTGTTGGATCCAACATAAGAACATCAACAGTTTTGGGGAGTCTGAGCAACATTGCTCCACATTTCTTTTGAAGCAAAGTTAATCCTTCTCCGTTCATATTTGACAAACATCTAGATGAAGGACACCGAGGCATTTTGGATTGGAGAAAATGTTCCACTATAATCGAAGGGGTTGGTCGAGGACTCCTTTATCTTCACAGAGATTCAAGATTGAAGATAATTCATAGAGATCTGAAGCCAAGTAACATTTTGCTCGATAATGACTTCAATCCAAAGATTTCAGATTTTGGCATGGCTAGGATTTTCGGGTCTGACCAAGATCAAGCAGACACAAGGAGAGTAGTTGGTACTTAGTAAGTGATCATTGATCCATATATACCATAGCTTTACATAGTTTTCTCCCTTATAAAAAACCATATCATACATATTTATTAACTAATCAGTTTTTACACGAACGTGCTGACATTTTTACAGTGGATACATGGCTCCAGAATATGCAATGAAAGGAAGATTCTCTGAGAAATCCGACGTCTTCAGCTTTGGAGTTCTAGTGTTAGAGATCATCAGTGGCCGAAAAAGTACAAGTTCTTGGAATGAGACATCCTCTTTTAGCCTTTTCGGATATGTAAGATTCCCCTTGTATACTACTATTCAAATACTAATACTGCAAAAACTATACAGTCAAAACATTTCTACATCGACATCATTTGTCCAGATATTTTTTGGTTGCTATAGTGAAATGCTATTATAGAGAACATCCAAAGTAAGTTTCACCATTATAGCAACGATTTGTTATAGAGAGTTCGATTGTGTGTACCTTACAATTTGTAGAATTACTTTTGCTGTCACTGTGTTTTGTGCATCAGTAAGTTTGATGATCAATTTTTCACTGTTTTTTCAGGCATGGATGTTATGGAAAGAACAAGATTTATCAACTTTTATCGATCCATTCATATTGAATCCGAGCTCAGAAATGGAGATAAAAAAATGCATACAGATTGGTTTACTATGCGTTCAAGAATTTGCTGAAGACAGGCCAAGTATTTCATCAGTTCTTGCTATGCTTACCAGTGAAACTACAAGTATTCCTACACCATCACAACCTGCTTTTACTGAAAGACATGATTGTATCTTCAAAATGTGCAATGAAACTAATTGTACTTTGAACAATATCAGTATCACAAACATAACTGGTAGATGAAATCATCTTTTTAAAGATATGCATAATTATCATTGTACGATCCATCCGTCTCAATTTGTATGATATCTTTGTCATTCATTTTTCGATTCCATGTTAAATATACCGTGTTGAATCAAATATCATAATCCACAAGTGTAATATGTGTTTGCCTATCACAGAATACATTTTTCTTTTTCACTATGTGCGTTATTACCACTCATAGTTGACAAGCACGTTGACGATGTGGTGCAAGCTTATTGTCAAGTTCCCCACTCAATTCTCACACTAACATGGCTTTTGAATTTTCACTCATTTTACTCTTTCGAAATAGTTTAAATATATCAACCATTATATTTTTGATCTAAGATTGAGTTAAGCTTAAATGTCATATTTTTACCTCAATACCTATTTTATTTTATTTTCATCTTCTTCTTTTTTCAATGAGCATTTTAATAATTTTTAAAGAAAAGAAATGTGTTTGTGCCTAAGCATAATAAAATGAGTATATTTATAATGGAAAGATATATTTGGATTTTGGACCAATAGAATAACAATGAGTCTCTATATGAGTCAGATTCTCCATTGGAATTAATGTAGTTTTTTTTTTGTTATTTCAAGTTAGTAACTCTAGGGGTGTGAGCTTGCTTACATTGTTGGTCCTAAGCCTAGATAAAAAAAAGTGTTGTGGTAGATTGATAACCAACGTAAAACTTGTCAGTTCATCATGTTATTTCAAGTTAGTGGAACATACTTGATAGCAATAGGTTTGTACATGTCTTGTAACTTAGAAGTTAAAACTACACAATGATAGTGATGGGAGAGAAGACTTATACTATCAGCATATAGAAGTTAAAACTCTACATTTTGCATTATTCATTTTAAGTGTCAATTTTTCCATTGGCCTAAAAGTTTCTGATTGAGAATGATATGTGGTTTGTGATAGTAGACTTTGACAACATATTGTGCTTTTGTACATTTAGTGTGGAAATAGGAAAAGTCTTAGGAAACCAAAAAGATGAGTAACAGCAGCAGCAGCAGAAGAAATTTGCAATATCTTGTTCGTATAATTCTAGTTATTCTTCGTTTTATTGATACAGGATTATGTAGTGAAGTGGATAACATAACCAGCACTCAATCTCTGAGTGATCCTGGAATGTTATCGTCTCCAGGAGGCGTATTCAAGTTAGGATTTTTCAGTCTTTGGTACAATTTTTCTGTAACAACTGTCATTTGGGTGGCTAATAGAGACAAACCTTTAAGAGATTCTTCTGGTGTTGTAAAGATATCTCGTGGTGGAAATATCGTTATAACGAATGGAGAGGAGGAGATTCTTTGGTCATCAAATGGTTCAACTTCTCAGGTAAACTCAAATGGCCTTCTCCAAGATTCTGGGAACTTTGTACTCGTTGATCATCGGGACAATATGACCACAATATGGCAGCGTTTTGAACATCCTTCTGATTCAACTATTCCTAGAATGAGAATAAGTGAAAATACAAAGACAGGGGAGATGGTTGAAGCAAGATCTTGGAGAAGTCCTTCGGATCCTAATATCGTAGACTTTTCTTTAAGAATGAACGCTCGAGTCTTTTCTCAGGTGTATATATGGAAAGGAAGGCGTCCCTATTGGCATACTGGTCTATGGAATGGACAGATCTTTATAGGAGTGCAGAATATGTATTCTGTGGTGTCTGATGGATTTGATGTAGTGAATGATCGCGAAGGTGTTGTATATTTTACTGGACCTGTTCGTGATAATTTGTTCAGGAAATTAGTCTTGGATTGGATAGGGAACTTCGTTCAATCAATTTGGGATGTGAATGAGACGAACTGGAAGATAATATGGTCAGCTCTCAATAACGACTGTGAAGTTTATGGAACGTGTGGTCCATTTGGGAGCTGCAATTATTTGGAGTCACCCGTCTGTTCTTGTCTGAGAGGTTTTGAGCCAAAGCACAGGGAAGAATGGCAAAAGGGGAATTGGACTAGTGGTTGTATTAGGAGGAGTGCTTTGCAATGCCAAGTTAAGAATAACACCGCGTATTCAAGTAAAGAGGACGGATTTATAAAGATGGAGTTGATGAAATTGCCTGATTTTGCTGAAACGTCATCTACTACAGAAGACTTATATAGAATCCAGTGCTTGAGGAATTGTTCCTGCATAGGGTATGCATTTGATTCAAGTATCGGTTGTATGTCGTGGAGTAAAATGATTGACATTCAGCAGTTTCAAAGCTTGGGAAATGATCTCTATATTCACGTGCACATTCAGAGCTTGGTAAGTATTCTGGTGCTGAATAAAAAAGACTCATTGTCAGTCATTTGAGATAGACATAATACATAAACGTGCCCTTTTACTTGGCCTCAACTCACATCTACGCTCTCATGCACACTCAAAGTTGGATGGCATGGATGTCAGCAAAGGCCAAATCAAAAGACACATTTATGCCTTTGAGATACGTTCGACTTAATTGAATTAAAGAACTGATATTTGTTGACCTTTAGTGTTTTCTGCAGATAATGGTAATGACATTAAGAAAATCGTAATTACAGTAATCGTTGGTTGTCTTACACTCTGTGTTTCTCTGTTCCTTCACTACACAAAGGTGATCAGACGTAGAGGTAAACATGCTATTAAGTTTTTGTATTATACATTTATAAGCGCTTTGTTAGCTATAGTAACTTGTATCCCTGCTGATATTAGGAGTGAAAAGAGAGGAGGTAGCTTTACTTGGTAACAGAAGTCCAGTTAATATGCAAGAATTACCAGTCTTCAGCCTCGATACGATTGCAAATGCAACATCCCAATTCAATGAAGATAATAAGCTTGGTGAGGGCGGTTTTGGTCCAGTTTACAAGGTACGAGTTTCATCTCTCTCGATCACTTTCCATATTTCATGTTGCTGATTCCTTGTAGGGGAAATTGCAAGATGGGAAAGAAATAGCTGTCAAGAGGCTTTTCAAAAGCATCGAAACAAGGGCTAGAGGAGTTCAAGATTGAAGATAATTCATAGAGATCTAAAGCCAAGTAACATCTTGCTCGATAATAACTTCAATCCAAAGATCTCAGATTTTGGCATGGCTATAGGATTTTCGGATCTGATCAAGATCAAGCAGACACAATGAGAGTAGCTGGTACTTAGTAAGTGATCATTGATCTATATACAATACCATACCTTTGCATACTAGCTAAACTACTCGAATCGTACTGACATTTTTACAGTGGATACATGGCACCCGAATATGCAATGGAAGGAAGATTCTCTGAGAAATCTGATGTTTTCAGCTTTGGAGTTCTCGTCTTAGAGATCATAAGTGGTCGAAAAAGTACAAGTTCTTGGAATGAGACATCCTCTTTGAGCCTTTTGGGATATGTAAGACTCCTCTTATAGTTGCTATAGCGAAATGTTTGTTATAAAGAACGTATAATATAACATAACATGAAAAACCGGTCCCAAAAAAGAGCTTGGCTGTTATATAATGAAATGTTATTATAGAGGACCACTGTTATAAAGAGGTCTGACTGACTATATGTACCTTATATTTAGTTTGATGATCTAACTTTTCATTGTTTTCAGGCATGGAAGTTATGGAAAGAACCAGATTTATCAAATTTTATCGATCCGTTTATATTGAAAACGAGCTCGGAAATAGAGATCAGAAAATGCATACAGATTGGTTTACTATGTGTTCAAGAATTTGCTGATGACAGGCCAAATATTTCATCTGTTCTTGTTATACTATTAAACTACAACTCTTCCAGCACCATCACAACCTGCTTTTACTGAAAGAAGACACTTCAGAATGTGCAATGAAAATAGAGAAACTAAGTTTACTTTTAACAAAATGAGTATTCACAAACCTTACTGGTAGATAACATGAGTAAATAACATTACTTTTTAATATTTGCATAATTGTTATAGTATGGTTCATTCGTCTCGATTTGTATGATATCTTTTGTTTCATTATGTTTGATAATATTGGGTCCGTGTAAAGCACGGATTGTTTGTCATTAGTTGCAAATAGAATTAGGGTAAGATATTACACCTGATGTTTGTACTAAGTTGTATAAATTTACTATAACTTACTTTCACTTTTAGTATATTATAAATGTAAATTATTAAAAAGTAGTGTTGTAAATTATGATAATTAACAACTTTAAATATTTTAAAAACATATTACATATTTAATTGACACTCAAATTTTTACATACGTGACATTAATTGGGATTGATTGAGCAACATATATTATTTTAAAATTACATAAAAAAATATAATAAATCATAATAATTAACAATTTCTAATATTTAAAAATCAAACAACTTCATGAATGGTAAGATATATTGGGCTGCTTATGATCAGCTAAAGAATAATACGATTTGTTCTTCTACTTTAATTACATTCTTCTCTTTAATTTATTTATCTTATTTTTCTTTTTAGTACATTATATATATATATTTAAAAATTACAAAAAATAAAATGTTTGTTTCGATAACAAAAGGTTTATCCCACTGATCTTAGTTATGCATAAACAATCACAACCATTTATAACAGAAAAAAAAAGAAGAGAATGTTGTTCCAATTTTCTCTAGTTTTCAATAAAGATAAAGTAAAGAATGAAGTTTGTACTTCTATTTAATGAATGGTATTTTGCGCGTACCATTATCATTTTATTTTGTATTTTATGTTTCATATTTATGTTTGCATCTTATATTTAAAGTCAATAAAAAAAATTTCTTCTATCCAACAAAGAATTGAGTGACTTATTTATATGTATATTTGTATATATATAAAAAGTGTTTTTAAGAAAGATAACTTTAAAATCAGATGACTAATCTCTCATTTAAATAGTAAATTATATTATTTTAAATAACTATATTTGTTTATATGATTCCTTCCTAATATCATATAGTTTGAATATAACAATGAAAAAGTTGCAATTTATATAACAATTGATTAAATGTGATCACACTGTTCTTTACTCATTATTTACTTATTTTGTTTTAATTCTTTAACTTATTTTATAATAGTATCCTATTTTTTTATAGATTATAATTTAAATATTTGTGAAATTATGTAACACAAAGATACGATAGATATAATCTATGAAAAGATTATATTCATTAATAAAATATAATTATTAATACAATATGTTACGAAACGATATGTAAAATCATTTAAATAAAATTTTAAAAAAAATTAAATTAAAAATAAAAAATATTAATTTTTGGTTTTATTATGCTTCAAGGTATCAAAGTAGTAAACGTAAAGATAATAGTCGGCTGTTTTTTTTTTAAATATATTAAATTGCATTTATATTTATATTAAATTGCTTTCATTGGAAGTTGAAAAAAAATTAAATAAATTGATAAAATGGTCTCTCTTTTCTCTCTTTCTTAAAAGGGTTTCTGTCATCTCTCTCTTCCTTTCTCTCTCCTTCAGTTCTCTCTCTCCTCTCACCTCTGTCTCTCTCTCTCCTGAAAGGAAAAAAAAAACCCTAAGAGGTGTTTACCAACAAGTAAGTTTCTCTCTCCCTGTCTCTCTTTCTCTCTCTATATATCTCTTTCTTTAAAAATTTGGACTTTTTTTTTCTTTATATGTTTTTATCTCTTTCTTCATTTGATTATTTTTTGTTGAAAAAAAATATGTACTTGTCTTTGCATGCTAATTTGCTAATTTCATTTTGATGAGTTTTGTTGGTTTAATCTTGGATCTGTTTTTATGTATGTTGTTTGTGTCAGATCTGTGTTGGAGAACATAAAGATTCAATTTTTATTTGTGGGTTTGCATTTCTGTTGATTTTGAGTACCCATTTGTGGATTTTTGTGTTGGGGATTTTTAGATTGTATTTAGTTGCTGATCTGAGAACTTTAGAAGATTCTAATTTTGTTTGTGGGGTTTTTGTTTCTAGTGGCTGAAATGTTGAATTTGGTGAGTTTTGGATGCTCATTTTGTTTGTGGGTTCAAAAAGTTTGATCTGGAAAACCCTAAAGATTGTATTTTTGTTTGTGGGTTTTTGTTTCTGGTGACCGAAATGTTGAAGTTGATGAGTTTTGGGTGCTCATTTTGTTTGTGGGTTCCAAATTTTTGGGGTTATTGAAAATTTGATCTGGAAACTCAAAAGATTTTTAACTTTATTTGTGGGTTTTTGTTTCTGGTGGCTGAAATATTGAATTTGTTGAGTTTTTGGTGCTCATTTTGTTTGTGGGTTAAAATATTTTGTTGGGGTTATCAGAAGTTGTATCTGGGAACTCAAAATATTCCAACTTTATTTGTGGGTTTTTGTTTCTAGTGGCTGCAATGTTGAATTTGATGAGTTTTAGGTGCCTAATTTGTTTTGGGTGCAAATATTTGAGTTGGGGTTATGGATATTTGTCAAATTTTCTAGTTATTCATTTCATTTCTATTGAAAGGTTGATGAAATTGCATATGAATTGGAATGATGGCAATGGCAATGGGTATGGGTAGATTTGATGAATTTGCTACTGGCATTTAGCTTTGGGTTGCTGGATCTGCTCATATTATGCTTGGTTGACTTGATTTTGTTATTTACTATTCCATTTCAAATCTTGATAGTTTTGTTATGTTGGATATATTCCTAATCTGAGTCTGATATGGAGTTTAATGCATTTTTTGTTGGGCATTTCAAATTGTGGCAAAAAAATTAATGTCAAGTGGTGATGTTTGAATTCATCTGTAGTTTATTGATGGATGACGACGGCTTGAACATGAGGAACTGGGGTTATTATGAACCTTCCCTTAAAGGGCATCTAGGTCTTCAGCTGATGTCATCGATGGTTGATCGAGATGCAAAACCTTATCTTACTAGGCGTGAGAATCCAATTATGCTCGGTGCTAATGGGGTGTTCCATTCCCGGGATTCTATCATCCCAGAAGCACCTTTATCTCACATTGACTATGTAAGGGACAGTTGGATAAATCACAGAGACAAATTTCTTCATATGTTTCCTGGGAGTCCTTACACTTCAGTTCTCCCTGATGCTTCTGCAAGTACTCCCATGCAAATGGTACAACAACCTGATACAACTAAGGATGTGGGGGTGAATGTTGAGGAACCAAGTGTTAAGAAAGAAAGTGGTCCTTCAAAGAGAAAGACTGGTGGTGCCACTCCCAAAGCTCCCAAAGCAAAGAAGTCAAAGAAAGTGTCATCTGCACCCAAGGAAAATGGCAACCCCTCTCAACGAGCAAAACCAGCAAAGAAGAGCATGGACATTGTATTAAATGGTATTGATATGGACATTTCTGTCATTCCTATACCAGTTTGTTCCTGTACCGGTTCTCCTCAGCAATGCTATCGATGGGGATGTGGTGGCTGGCAGTCAGCTTGTTGCACCACTAGCATATCAATGTATCCACTTCCAATGAGTACTAAAAGACGTGGAGCAAGGATTGCTGGAAGAAAGATGAGCCAGGGAGCATTCAAGAAGGTTCTGGAGAAACTTGCTGCAGAAGGATACAATTTTGCTAATCCAATTGATCTGAGGACTCACTGGGCCAAACATGGTACCAACAAGTTTGTGACAATCAGGTAGACTTACATAGAGGGTACCATTACGGACTGCCAATGCGTCTTGTTTGTTTACTTGTATATCCCTGGGGCCTTTGCAGAGGTTTACTTGGTACCTTTCTGTAGTCCATGACAATACATGTTTAGACTTCGATATTTTAATTTTCAGCAACAGTTGTTTAATTTTTCATTTTGTTGCTTTGGTAGTTGGCACACTGCTCTGCCTGCCAACAGTAGGATGTTGAAAATTTCTTTTCTTGATCGGATGTTTTTTAAGATGAGCATGTTCATCCATTTATTTTTACTCATGTCAGTTGTCTCTTTTCAATACTTATCGAAAAAGAAAAAAATCTCTTCTGAAGACTGTCCACTCTGTTTGATTTTCTTTGCACCTTTGTCCTATAGAGTGTTTGTCATGATTGATGATTTTGTTCAGATGACTACATGAATGTCTAATGTGTTTGCAACTTTCTGCACCTTTAGTCCTATAGAGTGTTATCACCTCAGTAACTTACAGTTACATAGCTCGTGGCTGATAACTGTTGTGAGTACAGGTAATTGGCTGATAACTGTTGCGAGTATAAGTAATCTTAAGATTGGAGTACAAGTAATCTTAAAGATTGGCGTGTGCTTCGACTTTGTGACTCTGTGTAGATGTTGGTGGCAGTCAACTATTGTGAAAATATAACAATCTCAAGATTGTAATTTGCATTGACTTGGTAGTGTGGGTTGGTCCTTGTTACACTATTTGAGTCAGTGATAATGTAAA